ATACCCTTGGATGACTCTTTCTGTGCCAAGTCTGCCATGAAATTTTGCCCACTGTATCTTGTCCCATTTCAATCTTCCTTTTTTTTTTTAATTTTTAAAATGTTTTATTTATTTCTGAGAGAGAACAGCATGAGCAGGGGAGGGTCAGAGAGAGAGAGGGAGATACAGAATCTGAAACAGGCTCCAGGCTCTGAGCCAGCTGTCAGCACAGAGCCCAACACGGGGCTCGAACCCACAAACCGTGAGATCATGACCTGAGCCGAAGTCGGATGCTCAACCGACTGAGCCACCCAGGCGCCCCTCAATCGTCCTTCTTAATTTAGTCTCTGTGTTCCTAAACCAATTTGCGGTCTGCTGTTTCCACTTAGTGGTCTGACTTTTAAGCCTTCATCATGGTACTTTCACCTTCAAACTTGGCTGAACATCCTTAAGTGGAAAGTTCAACACTGATGATTTGAAGTTTATCTCATTTTAATATAATTGCATCCAAATCCAACCCAAACTCCAAAATCTGATGACTTACAAGTTGGATGTGGACTACAAACTTTTTCTTTTGGCTAGATGGTTTTAAATTAAATTAGTTAATAGTATTTAAAAACTGTGACTTTTTAATGTAAAAATCCTGGCTTCTCTTGAAAAATCTAGAAGACTGGGTAACATTGGCCATATGTTTCTTCATGATAACAACCAGTTGGAGTTAAGTAGTAGCAATAACTTCTCTTCAATCTTGCACAATCCTCTTGGTTCCCCTACTCCCAACCCACCATCTTCCCAGCAACGAGCTAAGTGTCAGTTTTCATTGACTTTCTTATGTCCAGTCCACTTTTATTACCTGGCACTTGAAAGCATGTGAGTTTGTAACCCTTGATAAGAAAGTAAGTGATATGAGAACAGAGACCCTGTTTATACTTTGTATTCCCTGGCTCTAGTTTAAAAATCGCAAGTAAATGGTTGAAAGGGTAAATTTTTATTCCAAAAGAATATATTCTAAACTTAAAATCAGATTGGAAGGAAAAGAAGATGAGTATATATAGAATTGGTAAAGGTCAAATGAAAATGATACACTTTTGCTAATATGGGTTGGCTTTGGCTCAAAGTTAGGACTATAAACCTCAAATGTAGGGTCCATGAGGGAACAAAGCTAATACTTTCAAATGAAAAGCAATGAACAAATTCATATATAAATGCATTTTGCTAAGACACTAACTCATTAGTAAGGTGATTATATTTAAATATGTAATGTAATTTATGTAGGCATGTAATTATAGAAGAAATAAGCTTTAATTTTGTTTTCCTCTTTAAAATTTTTTTAGAAGTATAAGAAATTCATGCTCACTGTAGAAAAATTATAAAATACACAGAACTAAAAAGTCACGAGCCATCCTACTACCCAGAGGTAGCAATGGATAAGATGTTAATATGTATTTTGATAAACCTCTTTTGATGGATAGATACATATGTATGATTTAGATTTATGTATATATACATAATTATACTTTAAAAAACAGTTCATTTCCGATCTTGGAAAAATTGATTCAATTCAGCTTACATATGCAAGGCACGATACCAATCATTTAATCCCAAGATACTGTATCAATCTTTTTTCAAAGTCATGAAAGAACTGAATTATTTAAAAGAGCATATGTGATAACAGCTGAAGATAATTACTCTAAGTAAAGAAATGTGGCAGAATGGAAAGAGAGGACTCAAATTTGGGCTTTAGCCCTTAGCAACTATATGACCTTGAATAAATTACAGAAACACTCTCAAGTGCCATGCCAAGTTAATTTATTTATGACACTGAAATAGTGTCCTTGTGAGAATTAAATGAGATTATGGCCTAGAATGTTTGGAACATGATACCCCAATATATAATAGCTGTTTATTATCATTATATTTATTAAATTATGTTGCTAATATACCATCTTAACAGGAACCTAAGTGGCTGAATCAGTCAGAAAAAAGTTTCAGAATCCAGTGGATATAACTCAATAGCAAAATCCCTAAATAATTTTATATAAAAAATGGCAAAGAGGCCTCTGGGTGGCTCAGTCAGGTAAGCATCTGACTCTTGGTTTTGGCTCAGATCACGATTTCATGGTTTGTGGGATCAAGCCCTGTATTGGGCTCCATGCTGTGCTGTTAGCATGGAGCCTACCTGGGATTCTCTTTCTCCTCACTCTGTCTTCTCCCACACTTGGCACCCTGTCTCTCTCTCTCTCTCTCTCAAAATAAACTTTAAAAAGATCCTGCTTTAAAAAATGGGTAAAAACCTGAAAAGATATCATACAAATGGCCAACAGGTCTTTTTGTGAAAAAGTGCTCAACTAATCATTAGGAAAATGCAAATCAAAACCACGAGAGATCACCACACATCTGTTAGGATGGCTTTTATCAAAAAGATGAGATGAAAAAAAAAGAGATCATAAATGTAGGCAAGGACATGGCAATAAGGGAATCCTTGTACACCACTGGAAATATAAACTGGTGCCGTTACTAAGGAAAACAGCATGGAGGTGACTCAAAAAATTAAAAACAGCAGTTTTTATGATCCAACAGTCCCACTTTTGGGTATACATCTAAAGCAAACAAAATTACGATCCCCAAGGGATGTCTACACTCCCCTGTTCACTATAGAATTATTCACAATAGCCAACATATGAAAACAAGCCGTGTCCAATGACAGATGAATGGAGAAAGAAGAGGTGGTATATATATATATATATATATATATGTATGTGTATATATATATATTTATTTCAGCCATGATAAAGAATAAAATTCTGCTACTTGTGACAACAAAGATGAACCTAGAGAACATTATGCTAAATGAATAAGCCAGAGAAAGGCAAATACTATATGATTTCACTTTCATGTGGAATCTTAAAAAAAGAAAAAAAAAAAACTAGAAGCAAAGAGTAGAATGGTGGTTAGGGATAGGGGAGAAGACATTAACTATGGTTAATAGTACTGTATCGTACACTTGAAATTTGCTAAAAGAGTAAGTCTTAAACATTCTCATCTCACACACACACACACACACACACACACACACACACACACAGCAACTATGCAAGGTGGCAGACATATTAATTAACCTGTGTTAATCACTTCACAATGTATATATATACCAAATCATCATGGTGTATAATATACTTTAAATATACATACAATTTCACTTGTCAATTATACCTCAATATAGCTGGGTAAAAAAAAAATTGAATCTAATATTTTGGGAGAAGAGATTGAAGTTTTCTACCTCCAAATTATGTTTCACAAAACTGAGGTACTTTAAAAAAAAGTGGAATATAAAATCTGCTTAGATGGAATTTTTATACTAGTACATTTTTTAATTTAATTAAAAAAAATTTTTTTTGAATTTTTTATTTTAAGTAGGCTCAACACTCAATGTGGGCCTTGAACTCATGATCCTAAGATCAAGAGTTGCATTCTATACCTACTGAGCCAGCCAGGTGTCCCAATATCCTTACATTTATAAAACTAGGAGCTGAAAAAAGAAATAGGTAAAGATACGTAGATAACTTAAAGTTCCTTGTTTGAAGAACTTGTTTTGCAGGGTAAATAACCCATATAATTTTAGGAAATATTTAAAATTATTAGAATCACTTGGGGCACCTGGGTGGCTTACTCAGTTAAGCGTCTGACTTTCGCTTGGGTCATAATCTCGCGGTTCATGGGTTCGAACCCCGCGTTGGGCTCTGTGCTGACTGCCAGCTCAGAGCCTGGAGCCTATTTCAGAGTCTGTGTCTCCCTGTCTCTCTGACCCTCCCCTGCTCACGCTGTCTCTCTCTCTCCTAGAAATAAATAAAAATAAAAAAAATAAATTATTAGAATCACTTTATATATGCTTACAAAATGGTGTTTATTACACTGAAATATAGTTATTTTCAAGTTTCTCCCTACTGGGGTACCTGGCTGGCTCAGTCCGTTGAGTGTCTGACTCTTGATTTTGGCTTAGGTCATGATCCCTGCATCATGAGCCCTACGTTAGGCTATGTGCTAAGCTTGGAGCCTGCTTGGGATTCTCTCCCTCCCTCTACCCCTTCCCCCTGCTCGCTCACTTAAAAACTAAAAAAATAAAAAATGTTTAGGGGTGCCCGGGTGGCTCAGTTGGCTGAGCATCCAACTTTGGCTCAGGTCATGATCACACAGTTTGTGGGTTCAAGCCCTGCGTCGGGCTCTGTGCTGACAGGAGCCTGTTTCAGATTCTGTGTCTCCCTCTCTCTCTGCCCCTCCCCCACTTGTGCTCTGTCTCTCTGTCTCAAAAATAAATAAAACCAAAACAAATTTTTTCAATAAAAATCTTTAAAAATTAAAAAAAATTTCTCTCTATCTCTGTCTTATCTTTATCTCAAGGGTAAGGGGTATATCTTAGGCATTTTTGTACTTTCCATCTTCCATTTTATATTTCCATAATATGTTATATAGCTCACATTGAATAATTATTTATTAAATAGCCTAGTGAAGAAACCAAGACTCCAACAGTTTTAATTCCAAGAGGGATTAAAAAGGGGAACTAACCTAGGCCTTTGCCTGGTTATCAAAACAGTAGCACCCTGGGGCACTTGGCTGGTTTGGTAGAGCATGCAACTCTTGGTCTCTCAGGGTTGTGAGTTCAAGCCCCATGTTTGGGGAGGAGATTACTTAAAAAAAAGTAAAAAACAAAATAGTAGCACCTCAATTACTTAAACAGATTTTTCATAATGGTTCCAGGTCCTCACTCATCAAGATAAAGAAGTCTGGGTTGAGAATACAGAAGGCAAAGTTTAATATGAGTGTATTTGCACATCTTAATATATTCAGAAGCATATAGAAAAACTTTTAAATTATTAATTTTTAATATCTCCTCAGGCCCTCTAAGAGAACAGATAGGACTAAGCTCTGAAAAGAGTGGAATGAGATGACCACTACTAACAGAAAGCTTTCTTAAACTCCCTCGGAAAAATAAAAAGGTAGAGAGCAAACAGAGTTTAACCTACCTCTCTCTTTGCAAAGGACAAAAAGGAATTCAGCAGCAATTTGCTTGACTCCAAGGTCAACATGTGTCATGAGGCGCACCAGCTTATTTCTCACAGTTGAGCCAACTTCAGGACGATTTGTCACATCCCTCAAAGGTGGTAAAACCTAATGGCAGAAATGCAAAACCATCATCAGTCATGGGTACTAGAGTAAGCGAAGATGGCACCATGCAACTGGTCAGTCTTATAATATCTGCAAGCTCAGTTCCTAAGAGTGGAAAAAGCTTTTAAAAAATAAATAGATTTGCTTTCAAATAAAACTAAATAAACAAACAAAAAAACCCCATGTCAAATGACTTCAATTTTGTAATTAAATTTCATTTGAAAAGAAACATCTCTTCACTGTACCACCATGATATACTCAAATTCATTGCTGAGTTTTTATTCATTTTGGCATCTGGATGCCTTTGCCTGCTTCCATCAAAATCTATTTTAAAGGGAGGGTCAATTTATCTTCTCTATCTTCCATGGAGCCTTCCTTAATCCTCTTACTCCTGTTGATTTTTCCCTTCTTATAATTCCTGCAGCATTTTCAGTATTTACTAAAAAAACCTGTACTTATCTTTTCTTGTTGTTTTATAATAAAAATGGCTGCTAATTGTTGATACTTTAAAGGTGCTAGCTCCTTTAACAGAGGACATACATATATTCTCTATACTCGATCTCTACAGTAACGTTGCAAAGGAGGTAGTAACATCACCATCACCCTGTTTTATCAGTTGACCTGCAGACGGCTTGCTTGGTTTGTCTGTTTGTTTGCTCACTCACTCACTCACCCATCCACCCACCCAGCCTCTCCCTCTTCAGGTTCTCCTATCTCACTGGCTGCTTCATCTCAGCCTCTTCTGCCAATTCTCTTTTCTCCTCTTGTTTTCTAAGTGTTGGAATATCCAAGGGTTGTGCTTTTAGGTGACATTCTTCACTATTTTCACTTATCTTTTGGTGATCTCAACCAGTTTTATGGCTTTATAAGGTCTCTGTATAGTGATAACTCCCTAAATTATATTTCTATCTTAACTTCTTTACTGGCTTCCAGACTTTTAATGCTCTCTCAAATTTAGCATGTCCTAAACAGATGCTCCCATCAAAGTTGTTCCTTCTTAGTTTTCCATTTCATTAAATGATAAATCTATTCTTCAAACTGTTTATTTAGTACAAACACCTTGGAAATAGCCTCTTCCCATCCAATCCACCAGCGAATTATATTGTTTCTGCCTCTGAAATATATCCATATAATCCAACCAATTCTCACTATTCCCTGTAGTATTACCAAATCCAAGTTACTGACATGTCTCATCTGAACTAGTTATGACCACAACCTCCTAGTGGTCTCTGCATCAAACCTGGTCGAAGGATTTATTCTCTATAAAGCAGCTAGGGATCCTCTGAAAGTCAGATCATGTAACTTCAATTTCTGGCCTCAAAGTCCTCCGGCTCCCAGGGTTTCTCATCTTACTCCCAGTGAAAACAATGTCCTTATAACTCCTTTAGGTTTCACCTAATCCAGCGTCCTGCTATTTTTCTAACTCCAATTCGACTGTACTCCTGACCTACGCTGCTACAGCTGCATAGACCTCCGTGGAACTTCTTAAAACACACCATGTACTCTCCTGTCCCATGCTCTTTGAATTTGCTGCTCCCTCTGCCCAGAAACACTTTCTCTAGAGACTTGCATGGCTCATTCCCTTACTTTAGGTCTATGTTAAAATATCGCTTACAGGAAGACATTTCCTGACCACCCTATATGACTAACCTTGAGCACTCTTTTTTGTGCATCACCCCACCACCACTTTAATCTTCCTCACTGCACTCATCACCACCTGATACAGTATATTTTTTCTTTACTGTTGGCCTTCTTCCACAAGAGTCAGTGCCATGGGGGCAGGGATTTCTTTCTGTTTTGTTTACTGCTCTCAGTGCATGGCATATTACACGTGTTCCATAAGTATTTGCTGATTGAAGCAAGAATGAATGAATTCAAATATCTTCTTTTTTTAAAGATTTTATTTTAAAATAATCTCTACATCCAACATGGGGCTCGAATATACAAACTTAAGGTCTAGAGTTGCATGTTATACTGACTGAGTCAGCCCGGCACCCCTCAAATATCTTTTTAAAAGTGCCTTCTGTAAGCTAGGCACTATGGTAGGAAATGAGGATAAAAATAAAATGAAACAGGGGCGCCTGGGTGGCTTAGTCGGTTAAGCGTCCACCTTTCGCTTGGGTCATGATCTCATGGTTCGTGGGTTCGAGCCCCACGTCGGGCTCTGTGCTGACTGCCAGCTCGGAGCCTGGAGCCTGCTTCAGTCTGTGACTCCCTCTCTCTCTGACCCTCCCCCGCTCACGCTGTCTCTCTCTCTCTCTCTCTCCTAGAAATAAATAAAACATTAAAAAAAAAAATTAAAAAAAAAAATAAAGTGAAACAATAATTTACTGTGCCGGACCCTTCATGTGTATATTGTTTTATTTAATCCATTCAACTGGCTTTCTTATTTTCTCTCTCTTTCTACACTGAACATCTATCCTGTATCAGGAGGTATTGGAGACACTGGAGATACAGCTGTGAGCACAAATGGAAACGAAATCTCAGAAAATTAATAATCTACCACAGCGTTTACAGAGCCCATATTTAATATTTCTGATCGGGTAGAGCACCATGATTTCTGTGCTCTGTAGGCAAAAGTCACTGCACAATAAATCCTTATTTGATTCGGCCAACCATACTGAGTTTTATATGGTCTCTATATATTGAATGTAGAGAAGAATGAGACATCTAACAAGTGATTTCATGTAGTATGTGCCTACTGTTCCAGAATAAAGAATCTATTAACAAAGGTTATCACTCCAAAATTTTGTTAGCTATGTTTTGGGTTTCTTAAAATCAAATTTTTTAAACATACGTGTGTTGCTTTCATTGTTACAAATCACTCCCAAACTGCCTTTGTACAGACTCATTCTGTTTCCTCCCAAGGACTACCCTCCAACAAATTTTTTATTTTGACAAATCTTGTCCATCTCTTCTTTTAAATCCACATACTCTTCTGTAAACCTCTCCACAGACTAACCCAACCTGGGTCGGTACTTTCTACCATCTGTTCTCTTTCTACCTGCCTCAGTACTTAAGACCAATTTCCTTTCGGTATACTAATCAGGGCATAATAATTAATTAGCTATCATTCCATTTACACTATTACCAAAAACTAACCACCTGTTACTTTACGTTCTGCCTTTCTTAATCATCATAGTTTAGAGTGCATCTTTTTCAGAGGAAAGTTGATTTTTTGTGTGGCTTGTATCTTTAGTTACTTGTCATGTCTCATCTCTTTATACTGTAGTGCCTCTTTAAGGACAAAAAGTAGTTCTCATTATCTTTGTATCCACAGAATATGTGGCTTAAGGCCTTCATATATAGAAGTTGCTTAATGAACTGGTTCTTTTTGGCTATCCTAATCAGAGATAGCAAAATCTAAACAGTTCAAGTGAACCTGGATCTCCTATATGAAAAAAAGCTAAAATATAGAAAACTTAAAATATTTTTCAGTTGTTATTCACCAAGTCCTCCTAGTCACAGTAGAATGTCTTAAAATAATCAAATTGGAAATGACTTTAATTCATTAATTAACTAGTTTATTTGGCTTAAATGATTATTCATGCTTTCAGGGTACTACTCTCCTTCCAACAGACTGTAAGTTCCTCAAAAACAGAGTCTCTACTTTTTAATTTCAGTATCTATTAATGTGTTTCACATATGGTAAGGTGCTTACTGAATCTTTATCATAAACATAAAGGGGGGGAAATGAAGCTGGTTCATTTAACACGGCAAATTCTGTACGGCAAAAAATGAGCAGTGGAGTGAATGGTTGTACCATCCACTGAAATGTGGAAAGAAGGAAAGAAACAGGGTGAGAAACAGGGTTGGAGGGATAGGAAGTCAAGAGCTTAGCTGGCGATGTGTTAAACTTAAGATACCTATTACATATCTAAGGGGAGGAGATGAATAGGCAGCCTTTTATATCAGTCTGGAGCAGAGGAGACAGGTCAGGGCTAGGGACAGAAATTTGGGAGTCATCAGCATGCAGATGACTTTCAAAACCATGACTGCTGAATAGATCACCAAGGGAATGGAAATGGAGACAAAGACAATATTGCCTCGGGGCACTCAAACATTGCAAAAAGGTTCCCTATTGTGTCCTAGAAACCAAGTGAATAAAATATTTCAAGAAGGAGAGAATATTCAGTTACATCAAAATGCATTGGGGAATTAAAGAAAAAAGGTTTGAGAACTATTAGATTTGGCATTACTGGGTTGATGATTTTTGATGAGTGGGGTGGAAAGCCTAATTACAGTGGGTGCAGGAGAGAATTAAAGATGAGTAAAAAGAATAGAGAAGGTGAGTATAGAAAAGTGTTCTGAGGAAAACTGCATTAAGAAGAGCAGAGTAATAGGGAGGAAGCTCGAGAACTGGAATTAAGAGTTTTTGTTTTTAAGATGAAAGATGTGTTTGGATGAAGACAGAAATGACCCAGTACATTAAAAAAAAAAAAAAGATTGACATAAGAAGAGAGGAAATAAATGCAGAAGCAAAGTTCCTGAGAGGGTGAGAAAGAAAGCGATCTGGGACACGAGTGCAGAGCTTGGCCACTAAATAAAGCAGGGCCAATTCACTCATGATAGAAGGGGAGACAAAAGTTATAGTATATGAACAGATGAACAGAAAACGCAGTGGTAGAAAGAATCCTTACCATAAAGTCTACTGTCATCCTATTCCAAACCTTCACCATCAGCTCTCTTTTCAGCTGGACTTGTATCTACTCACATTCCTCTAGTCTATCCTATATATACTAGCCAGAGTATTTTAAAATATAAACAAGGCCCCTTTCATTCATCTCCCTCTCTCAAAATGGTCCAATGCTTGCCTAGCGCACTTAGAAGAGAATCAGAAGTTCTATACAACCTCAGACTATTTGGTTCTTGCTTATCGTTTGTTACTTCATCAACCATTCCCCTTGTCAGTTTGGTCTAGCCGCTTTGCTCTTCCACAAGCACACCAAGGCATCCTCTCACCTACGGAACTCTGAACATGTTCTCTCTACATTCCTCTTCCAGATAGTCTCAGAGATCTTTTTCTTATGTATCCAAGTTTCTGCTCAAATGTTATTTTCTCGGAAAGGCCCTCCTCATTCTCCGAATTCTCCTCTCCCCCTGCTATCTTTCTTCAGAACACATTACTACCTGTCATTATAACATATTCATTTACTTTTTGTTCTCCGTCTGTAAGGTAAACTTCATCTGCCTTTCAGTGCTTAGAACACAGCACAAAGTAGATCTCAACTATTAGTTGAATAAATGAATGAATGATTCAGAAAAATACAAATGATCACTTTTTTCTGCATTAGGAAGATTTCAAAGATTAAAACTAACTTTTCTGACTTTCTGATTTTATGAAAGAAAACCATTATGAAAGAATACAACTCATTAATTCTATTTTAAAAAACTGCATATAAGAACATAACTATGAGATGTAATATGCATTAAACAGTTACCTGATCTTTGAGAAATTTTCTGATGTTTCGATGGGCTCGGGAACATTCTGTTAATAAGCTGAGAACTGGAGTTAGACCTTCTCTATAGCTGCTTCCCTATAAAGAAAACCAGACATACTATGTTAGTTTCTAGCAGTATTACTTTCTTCTATATAACTAAGTATATTAATACTCCTTTTTAGGTGGTGGGGGGACATTTTATGTTACCAAAGTTTTATACACTATTTAAGAAAATATTTTCCTAATAATGTTTTCATTCCATCAGTTATCTTCATGTTTATTCATGCCCATTTTTATCCTTCCTGGATTTTCCTACATTTTATGGGGTCCTCACTGGCTCAACCAATGGACTTAAATAAGGCAAAAGTTTTGATGACCCACCCAAACTACCCTGCTGCCTTTTAATATAGTTACCAGACAAAGCAAGTGACAAACAAGAGAAAATAAGCAGCTCACAACATATGAAAAGTTGATTTTGTTTTTAAAGATAGCTTTTAGGTATTATGTCAAGTATTTATCATCAGGTTTTGTGGGCAGAAAATTTTTACTTCTAGGTCTTAAAAAATACCTACATGGAAAAGTAATTGACTTTTTCTTCACTTTTAGGCACTAGTCACAATTTCTGTGTTGCATCAACAAATATTTTGGCTTTAAACAAATAAATTTGACTTGGTTTTAGCAATTAATCATATATTGTAATAAAATGATTTCCAGAATACAATTATGCAATATGTCAGCTATAAAAGATTAAATTTAAAAATCATGTCCTGTGATATTTATATAAATGGCCCATTTACATTCTTTAGAAACATCTTCCCAAGGCCTCCATTTTATCAGGCTTACCTTGTCTATTCTCTTCTCCATGAAATTGAGTAAAACATGAATGGCTTCCATATTCATACCATTGTATACCATGGTATTGTTTTTCAAAACAGCTTCTTTCTCAGCTGTTTTATCATTGGGCAGTTCATCCAGAGTCGTTGCCTCTGGGGCTGTGTCTTCATGGGTTAATGGACAAATGAGAACATCCAAACAAGAGACCGGAACATTGCTTAAAAGGTTGACTGCATTGCTGGAAAGCAATTTAAAAATACAATATTTTAATTTCATTGAATAGTCCTTTAAGATGCAAACATAATAAGAAGTTCAGAAATGACTTTTAGGAGTCAATTAAAATTTTTCTTTTTCAAAATGAGTCTTTAATATTAGTTGTCATTTACTAAGAGACAGAAAATAAAGAGAACGGGGTTTTAAATACACATATGACAAATTAGAAAGAACAGATGTTAAATGGACACACATAATAACATGATGTCCTGTCACTTTCTGAAATGCTAAAATAGGAATTAGTGAGCTTTAACGCCATCTCTTTAATTTTATTATGACACAATGCTAGCTTTTTTCCCCCCCTTGGGGTTTTAAATCCTTTTGTGGAGCCACTGGTGTTTTATTATTCCTTAGATTACAACATAAAGCATTTGAGAAGCTGGATATAAGCAGCTTATCACAGAGGCAACAACATTAAAAAACCAAATACTGTAGGATTAGTTATGTTCTTTCTAGATGTAAAAAATACAATTTTTAGATCATCTAATTTTTTTAAAAGACATTATCAGTAAATAGGTAATGGTAGTGTTTTGTTTCGTTTTTTTTTTTTTTTTTTTTTTTTTTTTTTTTTTTTTTTTTTTTTTTCACCAGGTCTCTTTAAAAGAGGCCCACATAGGCATTTCAAACCTCCATCTCCTAGGCCTTTACATATTAAGGAACACATGCACCTGGGATGCACACCAGTAGGGGGAACCCAAACCTTGTGTTTTTGGTGCTCCCTGAAAATCTTGGTCGGTTGCTCAGTGTGTAAGAGATTAAAGTGACAAAATAATTAAAAAAATTAGGCATGTGCTCAATTAACAGATTTTCCTTCAAGGATTATTTCACCTTCTTTCATCTAAAAAGGCCAGGCGGTGTTCTCTGCTAACTGGATCTTACAAGCCTGGGCCTCAGCACTTCCTGATAAACAACAATGGAAAGACAGGCATTACATTTCCTAGTGACAGAGAAGCAGATCTAAAAATAACCACATCCTGACTAAAAATAAACTCTTGCAAATGCAATTGAAAAGTCTAACCACTTGGAAACCAAACTCAGGGCTTATTCTATCTGATGCTACCTTAATTTAGACCACAGTAGTTCCTTTTAATTTATATTATGTGACACCCTCAAAAATAAAACAAAGTAAACAACAAAACAGAAATGAAATATAAAATTTTTTCTTTCCTTAGTCTGAAGTGTGGCTCTCATTTCCCCAAGAATGAGTATTTCCTTCCTTTCTTTTTATATTATGGAAAAAATATAAAAAATCGAAGTTTAAAAATTAGATAATGCAGAACAGTGAGTAATGATGTAAAGGGTATTAAAAAAATCTGAACCAAGAACAAAAATAACAAGTCCTACGAATGAATGGTTCATGGTAAAATACAAGTTATTTGGCAGTCCCCACTAAAAATCTGTCACTGCTGCTGTGATTACTACTGCCACTGTTAAATAAAGGCCTTAATTTTGGTTGTTTGTAAATAATCACAATTGGTTGAAATACAATATTTTTCCCACAAACTTTCTTTTATAACGTTTTGCAAACATCTGTAGTTCCTTATCTAGAGTTAAAAATGTTTCCCTTCTGACTTAAGCATTTGGAAACTGTTATTAAATATCATAGATTCACTGGGGATGAAAACAAACAAAAGAACTCTACCACAGAATTACTTTCTTAAAACTGTATATAAGCCATTGTGAAATGTTAGGATTTTTTTCAACACAGAGGGCAATAGGCACAGGAGTCCATTGATAGGATGATTCTCTAAATCCACCATAGAGAACATACTGAAAAGTTTAAGACAGTGCATTTCATTACAAAGGAATGTCTTCCTTTAAATTCATTTAAAATAAGTAGTTTCCAGGAATCCAGTAAATTTAAGAAACCAAATGCTGAGTTTGATTCAACAAATATTTGGAGCTTTTAGGCTTTTCAAGAAAAGTTCCCATTTTCTCACTTCTTATTAAACAACTGGGTTTCCAAACAACTACAAAATTAATTTTCTGGCTCACTGTGTTTGAGCTATTCTTTTTAAGTAAGGAAGGCCAGCTTTTTGAGCTCTGTCACTTCTCTGACAGTTTTATTTGTGGTAGAAGAGTGTATGAAATTCTCCAGCTACCAGGAAGTCAGTGGCTCTGCACGGATCTGCACAATGGTGTTTGCATTCCTACTCCAGGGGGTAGAAATACTGTGTATATTACTCTCTCCTTTTCAGCTTCCTAGAGATCATTAATCACTGGGACATGACATCCTCCCACTCATGCTCCCAGCCCCCTCCTGATACGCAGATTCAAAAGCAATGCCTATTTAGAGCTCCTTAATGTCCTGATTAAAGCCTTGTTAGCTGTAAGAGAGGGAAGGCAATCTAAAATCCAGTCCCTATCAATCACTGGACTACACATAATTTAATACCAAAATGACAATGAGGAGCATGATAACAGTACATGCAGACCTACAGCCATTAACAAATCTTTCCTGGTTCAAATGTATCTTCTTTATATTTGGGGCTCACATATCTTTTCTTCATGGCTAGAGAATTAACTTAAAACTTAAGATCTCCAAATGACTTTCAGATGTAAATTCCTACCTTTACTCTAGCTCAGTTCAGTAATTTTTATTAACTACTTGTGTCAGGCATTGTTTTATGAAGAAAAAGACAAATCCATGCCTTAATGGAGCTTATTTTCCAGCATGGAGAGAACTGTCAGTGAAAAGTAAACAAAACAAATAAGATGACTGAATAGAAGGCATATAGAAGGTGATAAGTGGCCTGGGGGAGGAAACCCAGAAGGGTAAGATAGACAAACCGTGGGTTATAATTCTGAATAAACTGGTTAGGGTACTCCTCACTAAAATGGTGTCATTTAAGGGGCACCTGGGCACAGTAGGTTGAGCGTCCGACTTCCCTCAGGTCATGATCTCATGGGTTGTGGGTTCAAGCCCCGCATCTGGCTCTGTGCTGACAGCTCTGAGCTTGGAGCCTGCTTCAGATTCTATCTCCCTCTCTCTCTGCCCCTCCCCTGCTCACCCTCTGTGTCTCCCTTTCTCTCAAAAATAAACAAACATTAAAAAAAAAAATAAATGTCATTTAAGCAAAGACTTACAGGAAGTTAGGAAGTGAGCCATGTGACTATGTGGGGAAAGAGTATTTCAGAAATTAAGAGCAAAGGCCCCAAGGTAGGTAGAAGCAGCAGCATGACTGAAGAAGGTTTTGTTGAACTACCATATATAGGAAAAGGAATAGGACAGGAGACCAGATAGGTACAGGAGGCCAGATTGGTCTTATAGGCTATTATAACTTAATTTTATTCTGAGTGAAAAAGGAGCCACTATAGGGTTTTGCATGGTGATATACTCTAATTTATCTTAAAAGGGTCACTCTGACTACTGTATTGAGAACAGATGGCAGGACATCAAAAGTGAGAAGAATCAGGATGTTACTATAATAATTCAGGTGACTGAACATGATGATAAAGTCAAGTGGTTACATCTGGATACATTTAAAGGACATTTCTGGACAGGCTATTTGTGAATTGTGAGAATTCAAGGTTCTAGCCTTAGCAAGTGGAAAGCTGTTGTTGCCATAAACTGAAATGGGAAGTGCTGCAGGAGAAGCAGCTTTTTAGGGGAGGATTAAGAGTTTAATTTTGGATATGTTAAGTTTGGGTTATCTATTAGACTTCCAAGTGGAGATGTTAATAGGAAGTTAGCTGTAAGAGTCTGGAGTTCAGGGATGGAGATCTGGATTAGAGACAGAAACTAAGGAGTCATTAGCATGTGGACGATGTTTAAAGATAAAAGATGGGATCAGATCAGTGAGGAAATGAGTGTGGACTGAAAGACTCTGAGGGCTGAACCTGGGGCACTCTATTATCTGAGGCTGAGTTGAAGAAATTACAACTAGTGAGGTAGGAGGAAAACCAAGATCGTTTGGTGTCCTGGTAGAAAGTATATAAGCAAGAATGGAGTGACCACCTTGTCAAATGATGTGAACAAACAAGTAGGATGACAAATGACAAAGGTCCATTGGATTAGCACAACAGAAATCAGTAGTGACCTCAATAATAGCCATTCTGGTCGGGCAGTGAAACTAAAGCATGAGAGGACCAAATTCAAGAGAGAACAGTAGAACCAGAGAGTCAACAGGTGGAAGAGTTTTGCTGTAAAGAGCAAGACAAGACTCGAGTAGCAGCAGGTGAGAAGTGTCAAGAAAACTTTGGATAGGGGCACCTGGGTGGCTTAGTCGGTTAAGCGTCCGACTTTCGCTTAGGTCATGATCTTGCGGTTCGTGGGTTCGAGCCCCGCGTCGGGCTCTGTGCTGACTGCCAGCTCAGAGCCTGGAGCCTGTTTCAGAGTCTGTGATTCCCTCTCTCTCTGACCCTCCCCTGCTCACGCTGTCTCTCTCTCTCTCCTAGAAATAAATAAAACATTAAAAAAAAAAAAAAAAGAAAACTTTGGATAAGATATGGATGGAAAGACCCCTGAATGCTGCTCTCCATGAAGCATATCTTTTTAACCCCCAGGAACCTGGTCATTGTTCAATAAATGTGCCATAGACACATACTCATTTCTGTATTTGAACATGTCTTCTCTTGCCTAGAACGTTCTCATTCTTTAAGACTAGCTCAAACTTTCCTCCATTCTCAACAAATAATTTACTATGCCTTGTGCTAGGTGCTAAGTATGCAGTGTAAAGCAAAGGAAAACACGTCTAAAGGAGGGGTCTTAGTAAGCAATGAAACCAGAAAAGTACATGTATGTGTGCATGGAGTGGGTACGGGTATTATAAAAGACACTGCTATGAGATGTGTGTTATGGCCAGAAAGGTTACTGGTGACCGTAAACCAGAGTTATTCTGGCAAAGGAGAAGGTGCAGAAGCCAGGAAAACACAGGTTTCCCCGATAAGGCTAGAGATCATTAATAAATGCAAAATGACAACAGAAGTTTGCTCTGAAACATAAAGACAGAGGGGAGCCATGAG